GTCTTCTCGATCCCTATCCTTTATCATCGCGTCCCACGCTCGCGATGCCTTTTCGATCTCACGTGCCTCTCACGCGCCTCTCACACTCTCCCCCCTCTTCTTCTTTATGCCAACACAAGGCGATAGGGTTTCAGTCGTCGAGCCCCTCGCTTTGTTGAAACCCTAACCCTAACCCTAAAATTCGGCGCATGGAACCGCGGCGGCAGCAGCAGAACGGGCTATCATACGACAATCTCTTCAATCTCGAGGTAATTTCTTGTATTGCGTCGTTTTTTATCCTGGTTCTAGATCTATTTCTAGGCTTTTTGGTTGTTTGTTGGTGTCACTGTGAGGGTTGGTTGAAAATCTAGGGTTTTTGATGTGTTGATTCTGTTGTACTTTGGATTTTTGTTAATTTTCTTGATTTTATCCTTGCTTTGTTGGATTTAGCCTTTGATGAACTTTCGATTGCCGAAACCTAGCGAGGAGTTTGATACTTATGGGAGTAGCAGTCAGGAGGAGAGCACAAGTAGCCAAGGTACATTCTTTTTTTATTTTATCGTGATTTTTGTTTACTTTTAAGCTTAAGTCAATCTGTATTCATGTTATTAGGAAATGTGCAAATCTTTTGTTAATTCAAAATCCCAATTTGAACCTCTTGAAATCAGGTCAGGGAGCAATGACGGGTTACAGTAACGGAAGCATGACTGATAGGTCTTCAGGCCACACAAAGAAGCAAAAGAGGCGTGGGTTTGAACTTGAGACCGGTTTAAGCCCTTATGGTAGGAGAGATGCAGATAGTAATGATCAAGATGATGAAGATTATAACACAAGAATCTCTGAAGATCATTACCGCTCGATGCTTAGTGATCATGTACAAAAGTATAGGAAAGTTAGGGTTCCTGATTCTTCAGTTCCAAATGTGAGACGTAACCACAGCTCGAAGGCTGGGAAGTTTACCCATGAGCCATTTGTTAAAGAGGAAGCAATGTTTCGTGAGATGGATAACTCGCCAGAATACTTTGATGCTGATTTTGAGTCGGATTATGGTGGAGAGAATAAGTATGGTTCCCCTCTAGATTCTTCCTACTTGGACATTGGTGAGGGGATAACGTATAGGATCCCTCCAACTTATGATCTGCTTGTGACTTCACTGAATTTGCCAAGTTTTTCAGACATAAGAATAGATGAGTATTTTCTGAAGGGAACACTGGATTTAAGGTCTCTAGCAGCATTTGTTGCTAGTGACAGGAAGTTTGAGGCCCGGAATCGAGGAGGGTTGGCAGAGCCTCAGCCACAATATGAATCACTTCAAGCACGGCTCAAGGCTCTTTCTGCTAGCAACTCAAATCAGAAGTTTTCACTCAAAGTGTGTGATGATCATCTGGACTCCATTCCGGAAGGAGCGGTGAATCTGGTAATTTACAGGTTTACTATGTTAGGGTCATGGAAAAGGGAGATACATTTGAGGTCAGCTCTGTTCATTTTGATTTGCTTTCAAGCATTGACGGGGATTTTTTTTTTAATAATATCTTTCTCTATTTGACAACAGATTATTGAGCGAGCCTTGCCTAAGAAGCAGATAGTTAAAAAAGATCCTTCTGTGATTGAAAAGGAGGAAATGGATAAGATTGCGAAAGTCTGGGTGAATATTGTGAGGAGAGATATTCCTAGGCATCACAGGGCTCTCACTAATCTTCACAAGAAAAAAATTGGTGATGCGAAGCGTTTTTCAGAAACCTGCCAAAGAGAAGTATGTGTCGTTTGTAAAGTCTTATTTGCTGGACATGCTGATGTGGTTCTTTTGTTGCTGCTTATCCCTTGAAAACTTTTGATTCCTGGCTTTACTAAGTTGTTCATTGTGCCCATCCAGGTAAAACTGAAAGTTGGTAGGTCAATCAAGCTGATGAGAGGTGCAGCCATCCGGACCAGAAAACTTGCTAGAGACATGCTGCTGTTCTGGAAGAGAGTAGATAAAGAGCAGGTATGCCTCTTAATACCCTATGTATCTAAATTCGCAAATGCATCCTTTGAGTTATTTAATGACTAGCACACATTATGATGTACTTGAAAGGTTTCTGTAGTTTGGATTCACATTATATTGATCATTTTTCCTTAACTATTCTGAATCTGTATTTTTTTTCTTCCAATTACTTGACCTCTACCAAAATTATAGCATATCATATATCTGTTGCTCATTGTTCAAAATATGGCAACAGCTACAAATTTTTATCCCAGAAACTTGTGATGATTTACATGAACCCATTTTCTTCAAACAATCGGAACAATAGTGAACATGGACCGAGTGTAGTATTTGTTATTCGGGTATTCACCCTTTTTTCTTCCATACTATATTAGACATTATCAGTGCGACATAGTGGTAGCATTCAGCATGTTTTGGTGCTTCTTCCAAGGATTGTGACTTGGCACACTATATTTTCATGTTGATGAAGTGCAAGAATGTCCATGAATTCCGAGACATATCCACTGGATATGGACTGGTTAGAAATGCAAGAATGCAATGAGTGTTTCCTAAAAAAGTTATTCCAATTTCATTATTTGCTTATTTCGATGATCGACATTTAGTATCCATCAGGATCTGGGTTAAATTTTAAATATCATACTTGGAAAGGCTGAATTTGATTTTCATGTGCGTAGCTTTGTCTCTAGGCTTTTGTTTATGTAACTTTCAGGTTATAATATCGTGCGACCCTTTTTGTAGTATCAGTTTGAGATCATCATTAGATCACAGGTAGTACTGACTATATGGATTTCTGATGAACCTGTTGATTCTTTTGGGTTTTCCCATCCTTAGCTAGATTATGCCAATGTTAATATTGGCTGTTGAAGCTAATAGTTTCCATGAAGCTGAGATTTAAATCTAGAGAAACTTTGTAGCTTACCTCTTTCAAATTTATTTTGCAGGCAGAAGTGAGAAAGAAAGAAGAACGAGAAGCTGCTGAAGCATTGAAGCGTGAAGAAGAGCTTCGAGAAGCAAAGAGACAGCAGCAAAGACTCAATTTTTTGTTATCACAAACAGAGCTGTACAGTCATTTTATGCAGAACAAGTCTTCACAACCCTCAGAATCTTTGCCCACTGTAGACGATGAATCCACAATCCCAGAAGAGCCATCTGCAGCTGCAGTCCAACCAGGGGAGGAAGAAGACCCTGAGGAAGCTGAACTAAGAAGAGAAGCTCTGAAAGCAGCCCATCATGCTGTCTCACAGCAGAAGAAGATAACTAATTTGTTTGACAGTGAATGTTTGAAGCTTAGACAAGCTGCTGAAACTACAGACGTGACTGATGATCCGGCAATTTCAGGGTCCAGTAATATTGACCTATTGAATCCGTAAGGCCATCCATCAATAGCTTGTTTGATGACTATTTAAGAAAGTTAAATTGCACAAATTTCACCTTTCTAGTGTTTTTCATAACTCACTTCCTGCATCTTGGGTTTTGCTTGATCACGCAGAAGACTGATTATAATACTGAATTTGTTTGAATTTTCAGTTCAACGATGCCTGCAACCTCATCTGTGCAAACGCCAACATTGTTTAAAGGCTCTTTGAAAGAGTATCAGTTGAAAGGGTTGCAATGGCTTGTGAACTGCTATGAGCAGGTAATGCATAAGGCAAAAAGTAATAAACTAGATGTTCTTGCTTGAAAACGAGTTTGATACTTTTATCAAAATAAGAAACTTTGTTTATCTTTTCTTTTGTGCAGGGTTTGAATGGCATTCTTGCTGACGAAATGGGCCTTGGGAAGACTATCCAGGCTATGGCATTCTTAGCGCATTTGGCTGAGGTTAGAGAACTTGGTTCTTGATTATACAAAGCATTGGCTGCTATTTATTTCTGTTCCAAGATTGTTTATTCCGGTGATCCCCAATTCATATTTTTCTGAGAAGTGTTGTCACTTTTTTCTCTATGATGGTTCTTTACCAATTAGTTGATTGCAATTGACATCCACTTATCTCCTTATCAGTATCTCTTTCTTGTTTTCCTGATATTGATTGTCTTAAGTAGGAGAAAAACATATGGGGTCCATTTTTGGTGGTTGCTCCATCATCTGTTCTGAATAATTGGGCTGATGAAATTAGTCGATTCTGCCCTGATCTAAAGACACTTCCATATTGGGGTGGAGCTTCTGAAAGGCTTGTTCTAAGGAAAAATATCAACCCAAAGCGCCTTTATAGAAGGTAAGCTTAAGCTGGATAGCGCTTTAATGTTTTTTTAAATTTTAACATTTGCAGGTTAGGTTTCTGCTAAGTCTTTCTACTTATTGTCTCATATAACTGGTTGATAACGCATGTTCTCATTTCTGCAGGGATGCTGGCTTTCATATACTTATTACTAGCTACCAGTTGATTATTAGTGATGAAAAGATCTTAAAGCGTGTGAAATGGCAGTATATGGTATTGGATGAAGCCCAGGCCATAAAAAGTTCACAGAGGTACCTTGCCATGTGCTTGATCCAGAATAGCATCCTGAAATAATTTGCCGGAAGCACATTTAACATCTTTTTATCATTATTTTCCTTCTTAGAGATAAATATTGATGAGATAAGCTTATACTCTTCCTTTCTTCTTGTGTAGTCAGCGATGGAGGACATTGCTCACTTTTAACTGTAGAAATCGATTGCTTCTAACTGGCACACCTATACAAAATAATATGGCTGAGCTCTGGGCCCTGCTTCATTTCATCATGCCCACTCTGTTTGATAGCCATGAACAGTTTAATGAATGGTTTTCTAAAGGGTATTGCTTCAACAAATTGGATTGACCTTTTCTTTTTCTTTTATCTTGCATTCAAGCATGCCTTGCTCACGTCTCCTGTTTATGTTTTTTTAGCATTGAGAGCCATGCAGAACATGGAGGCACTTTAAATGAACATCAGCTTAACAGACTGGTAAGTTCAAGTTGGTAGTTGGCACCTGTAAGAAATTAAGGACTTTAAGAATTGAACTAACTTTCAGTATTTTATTCTTTTGTTTATAACCAACCTATAATGTGATTAGAATTATATGTATTGAACATGTCACTTGATAAATGTATGATTTCAGTTTTGCTTATATGATATCAGCTTTACAAGGAAAAGGCTGCTGATCATGACCAAAACTGTGATTCCTGAGTCCTAACTGCTAGGGATTAGTTGAATATGAATTTGTATTTAAAAATCTAATTTTCTGTTGCTCAAATTGTTCCATTTTATTCCTTTTTTTCTTTTCATGATTTAGCATAGGTATGCCTGATTGATATTGGTTCATTATTTGTGGAATTCTTTTTGTGTTATTTTTTATTAGCTTTAGGGACTTATCTCAATCCTTGAATGCATGAAATATCATATAAGGCCTAGCGGTACTTCTGTTTGACCTTTTCTGAATTTTTTAATTTGTATTTTTAACATTTTCTAATGATATGATTTGTATTTCTGACAGCATGCAATCTTGAAACCTTTTATGTTGCGGCGAGTTAAGAAAGATGTCATAACAGAGATGACATCGAAGAAGGAGGTTACAGTTCATTGTAAATTAAGTTCCAGGCAGCAGGCTTTTTATCAAGCTATAAAAAACAAAATATCACTTGCTGAGCTTTTTGACAGTAACCGTGGGCACCTAACGGACAAGAAACTCGTTAACTTGATGAACATTGTCATTCAATTGCGGAAGGTGACTTTTGAATTACCTTACAGTTAAAAGTTTACTAGTTAGTCCCTGAGGTTTTTTATGAAGGCTTTGTTGCTGTTATTATTATTATTTCAGATAGCTTCTGCATAATGAAACCTGGTTCTACAGGATTTGATTTCCTTCTATTTTCATTATGTCTTATGGAAAGTAGACCCATACAAAATGTGGGAAAATAATAATAATATAAAATAAAAGACAACACTAGAGGCGACTGCAGATAACATTCTTTGGGGTATTTAGAAATGAATGCCTACTGATATAAAATCCTCACCTTTTGATAGGTGTGCAATCATCCAGAATTATTTGAGCGCAATGAGGGAAGCTCATTCTTATATTTTGCAGATGTCCCAAATTCTCTTCCTCCTCCTCCATTTGGGGAGCTGGAAGACGTTTATTACTCGGGAGACTTGAATCCCATATCGTATAAGGTACTTTCTTCCTTTTCTGATAATTTTAAACTTTCTAATGCTTATTGCAATTTTTTTTTAAAATTCGTTTACCGGTTCCCATTTTACCTACTCTTTTTTAATTTGCCAAATCTTTTTTTCATGCTTTTAGGTTCCAAAATTGGTTTATCAAGAAACTATCCGGAATTTTGAAAGGTCTTGTTCAGTCATGGGGCATGATGTCCAGAATAATACTTTTGAGAGACTCTTCAGTATTTATTCTCCTGAAAGTATATATCGCTCTGCAGTTTCCCAATTTTCAGATGAATATTCTCTGACCACTGGGACATTTGGCTTTACTCGGCTTATGGATTTATCACCAGCTGAGGTCTCATTTTTAGCCCAGTGTTCTTTGCTTGAAAAGCTGATGTTTTCTGTGAAAAGATGGGATAAGCAGTTTGTAGATGAAGTTGTTGATCTCTTCATGAATTTAGAGGGTGGTGATGCTCAATATGATCAGCTAGAGGAATCAAAGGTGAGAACAGTTGCACGGATGCTGATTATTCCCACAAAATCAGAGGCTAGTATGCTAAGGAAAAAACATGCAACTGGCCCTAATGATGCTCCATTTGAGCCGTTGGTGATCTCACATAATGAAAGATACATGTCCAACATCAGCATGTTGCGTTCATCATATGCTTTTATCCCAAAAGCCAGAGCTCCGCCTGTAAGTTCTATGAATGTGTTTATTCCTGCTACATATTCTTCAAAGTTTTCTTTCCTTTATAATGAAGAGTCATTCCGAAGGCAGCTTAGTCGTCAAGCAATCTTTAATAATGACATTTTAACATGGAACCTATTAGTTCATTTCCCATGAGTTTCATTTTGTAGGCTCCTTCCTTTTTACTTTTAGTGCTTTGCTCACCTTGCAGATAAGTGCTCAGTGCATGGATAGAAGCTTTGCATACCAAACTGTTGAAGAATTGCATCATCCTTGGGCTAAGAAGATGTTTCTTGGGTTTGCTCGCACATCTGAGTTCAATGGTCCTAGAATGCCAACTGCTCCTCATCATCTGATAGAAGAGGTCAATACAGAATCATCTTATCAGCCCATGCTCGAGCTGACACACAGGATTTTTGGTTCTTCTCCACCTATGCAAAGTTTTGACCCTGCTAAAATGCTCACGGTATATGATTGCCTTTTGATTCCTTTTTCTAATGGTTTTAATAAGAATTTTCATGTAGGGAGAAATGATGCATTTATTAACTCAGGTTTTGATTGTGATTTACGAAGCACGGGCACTTCAAATGGAGTTTTGTGTCCGTGTCTGGCACCAATGTCACCGAAACTTGCACAAACCTTCTCTAGCATGTAATTCGCTCACTCTGGAGCATGTTGATTTTGACTTTTAAAGAAACAAAAGCACTGTCTGAGTCATCTCAGATTTATGTCGGACACCATGAAGCCATGTGTCATGTAAAAAGACATAAAAGGATTGCTTGACATAAGAAAGATAGTATTTGAACAAATCTAATCCCCTCAAAAACATGTGTTGGCTTCTTTCCTTGTTAAGTGTTAGGTTTGGTTTTTATATTTCTTTTTAGTTACCTGATTATAAACTATCGATTCAAATCATTGTGATCTTTTTCCTTTTCACTTCAAAGAAAGATTTCCAAATGACTGAGGACGTTGATGTATATGGTATAGAGATACATGCACATGCACACAGTCAGTCAACACGTTCCTGTATCCTATTTCTAAAGGCTTTTCTGTTTTTCCATGTTTATTTCGTTGTATCTGTGTCTTGTGTCTGTGTCCATGCTTCCTCCTTGTGGTAAAAACTGATGCTTTGAGATTTTGGTTTGGGATCACTTTTACTATCTGAGACATTATGGTACAGCATGACTGTGCCACTTGTTTTTATCATCTTGTATGTGAATTTAAAATGGTTGTTTAAACTAATTAAGTTTTCTTCTATGCAGGATTCCGGGAAACTTCAAACTTTAGACATACTATTGAAACGTCTTCGAGCAGAAAACCATCGTGTTCTTTTGTTTGCACAAATGACAAAGATGTTGAACATTCTTGAGGTATATATCTTTTTCATATGTTGTGATATTATTAGTTTTAATGGCAGAAAATTGATTATTTTAATTTGCTCCATTTTTATTTTTTGTCTTCATAATTAACCTACTTGTATGCTTTTCTCGTTAAGTGATGGCAATTTGGTAAATTGCTAACTTAAGATTGATCCTAAAAGTGAAGACTCAAATGAGATTGTGACACCATTGCAGGCTTATGTGATTTTTTTCCCAAGTAGTAAGAAATTATTTCTTTACCAACAAGAAAAAGCTCGAATTTTGTTTGTTGAAGAAGGGTAATCCTTTCTAGTATGCCACAATATAACTGTATTTGCAGAATAAAAAAGGTTTGTCAGGCAGCTAGACGAACCAAATGTGAATGTAAAAATAGTTTTTTAACTCAGACCTTTTGAAAGTTAATTCTCATAATAGGAATTACTTTTAGAAGTAATGTATTCATCAACCTTTCTGACTTGTAAAATGTGAACTACAAGCTGCAGCTGGCACATGATTTATCTCAATTGTTGCTTGTAGTTTTTGACATCATTTGTTTTCAGAGTTTGATGTCAATCTAAAACTTATTTTGCAGGACTATATGAATTATAGGAAATACAAATATTTCAGACTTGATGGATCATCCAGCATTATGGATCGTCGTGACATGGTTAGAGACTTTCAGCAGCGGTAAGGCATTGTTACCTTTTATGATAAAATATAAAAGACATTTAGATGTTTCTTATCTGCACAATTATTTGCAGTTAACCTTTTGAATAAAGTGCTTTTTGACAAAATTATTTTGCATTCTGCAGGAATGACATTTTTGTATTCTTGTTGAGTACTAGAGCAGGAGGTCTCGGTATCAACCTGACAGCTGCTGACACTGTCATCTTCTATGAGAGTGATTGGAACCCAACATTAGATCTACAAGCAATGGACAGAGCACATCGGTTAGGTCAAACAAAAGAGGTTAGCAAAATTAGAACCCTACTGATCCACATATTGATTTTTTAAGGAATTCTAAAACATTATTCAAGGGATCATAAGTGAGCTCTTTATTAAGTTCTTTTGGAGGTTAAGGTCTAGAATGGAATATTGTTTACTTGTGACAATTTTATGCTGCAAGCTTTTATATGTGAAGTAGCTTCTATGTGCTGCAAACCTTTTCCATTATTGCAGTGTCAGTCTGAAGTTTTTTGTCAGAAACAAGGGGCTACGTGTCAAATACGCACAGGGGCGGATCCAGAAAATTTTGTCAGTTGGGGGCAAGATCACTACTAGTATACGATACTTTAGCTAAGTATTAACAATATCAAAACAAAGCAGACATATATGTACACGAACAAAATTAGTCAATAGAAGTATCTTGTTAAATTTTTACAATTGTTCCATTCGTGTTCTCGTGTTTTGATAATATTGTATGATTTTCTCATTGTCTATGTTATCAAATATCTCTCTCTCAATATAAGTGACTAAACAATCATTCAACCAATCATCACCCATGCAATTGCGCATTCGATTCTTCACTATATTCATTGCAGAGAATGTAGAATGCAAACAATAATATAGGTATATGATTGCGCATTCGATTCTTCACTATATTCATTGCAGAGAATGTAGAATGCAAACAATAATATAGGTATATTAGTATATTCACTAAAATTCATTAAATTCATTGCAGAGAATGTAGAATGCAAACAATAATATAGGTATATTAGTATATTCACTAAAATTCATTAAATTGAACAAGATTAAACTAAAATTAAATAAAATTCACTGAAATTGAACAAGATTATACTAAAATTCACTAAAATTAACTGAAGTTCACTAAAATTAACTCAATTTGAACAAAATTAAAATAAAATCAACTAAATTAACTAAAAATGAACAATATTAAATTAAAAATAACTTAAACTACTTAATTAAACTAAATTGAATAAATTAGCTATTTAAAGATTGAAAACAGTTTATAAGTGCTAAAACAGTAAATAAATTAATTAAGTAATTAAAAAATAAAAATTTACCTTTGAGGAGGTCCAGCAGCGGGGGGGGGCTGAGGTGAGAGGGGAGAGAGTTTTGGAGGTTTCGAATTAGGGTTGGGTTTGGGTATTGGGTTTGAATTGTTTGTTTTGGACCTAATACTAAATATGAGTTTGTTGACCCCGCTGCCCCCATCCTACATCCGCCATTGAATACACACTACTGACACTAGGGACTAGAAATGTTTTAATAGACACCCACTAAGCAATTTTATCAAATGAAGTGTTAGATGATAACCAAAACACTGGTAGAAAGGGTCATAATTGCTGAATTGCTGCTACCAGGTTGGGAGCTGTAATTCTATAAAGTTTACAGTTCAAACTTGCAATTAGGTTATTATAGGGACATCGCGTCTGTTGGAAGGATACAGCTCAGTGACGCTAGAGGATGCAGATGCATATAGATTGGTAACAGGAGGTAGTGCAGATTATTTGGTTAGAGGTAATGCTGAAGGATTTAAATATATGTAAAAGAGTATCTGGAGTTTGTGGACTTAATAGAAATAAATTGCTTTAAAATCCAAGCTATCTGACAAGGTATCGAAATGTTCATTGGGGCAATTGTGGTGTGATCATGTGAGTATGATGTAGTTTTTATGACGCAATTATTGAATGGAATTTAATTATATCAATCTTTCTGCCTTGCTTTCTAGAAATTTGCTCTGCCACAGATTGTATCCACTTGATCTCTCAATTTGATTAGAGTTAACTGTAACAGAATGTGAAATCCACATATCGTTCTGTTCATGTTTACGTTTTGCAGAACTGAAATGTTAATAGAGCTACTAAAACATCTGAAACCTGACTCTAGCAATAATGTTTAGGCATTTGCAAATGTGTCCTTGTGCCTGCTTGTGTTGTGGGTGCTTTTTTTTTTGACATTTTACATGATTAATACTCAGAGGAGATTTGACAAAGTTTTTCCTAAAGCCTTTGCTTCTTTTGTTCTGCTTTTAAATTCCACATAGCGTTAATATCCTTCAGTGATGTAACCCAATTGACCGTGTAGGTCACTGTATATCGACTAATCTGCAAGGAGACAGTTGAAGAGAAGATCTTGCAAAGAGCAAGCCAGAAAAATACTGTGCAACAGCTGGTTATGACAGGAGGGCATGTCCAGGGGGAGATTCTAAAGCCAGAGGATGTTGTTTCATTGCTCCTTGATGATGCCCAGCTGGAGCAAAAATTAAGAGAAATACCTCTGCAGGTGAATTTCATCATCTTTTGACCTCATTTTTTTTTCTTCACAGGCTGTTTTGGATGTCTAGGCAGACCCTAGTTATCTGTGCCTTTAAATTACATTTCAGGAAGAAAATTTTATAATTAGTATTGGAATGTGTTCCAGAAATATCCATATTCTTTAGAAACATGGAAATACAAGGACACCAACAACAAGAACAAAACTTCACTTCAGATCACTGTGTTTCAAGTTGATATCCAAATTAGAAAGACAATTGCATTTGGTATTGGAATGTTTTAGAATATAAACCATATTCTTTTCAAATATTGGAATTAATGTTTATTCATGGAGCTTAAGCTTCATGGCTCTTTCTTCTTGCATTTTGTCAACGCTACCAAGGCAAGATGTTCAAATTTTGGTTTTATACTTTTACAAGAATTATTCTGTTCCATTCTGCTCTGTTAAGCATCACACCTATTGCACTAATACCTTTTAAACCTTACCCTTATCTTCTTTTAATCTGTTTAAGATTCAAGATTTATCATTATAGAGACAATAGTAGTCAAGTATTCTCTATGTTCGCTAAGGGGGGCTTGGAACTTGGTTTTGTTTTGTGTGTTGGAAGCTCGTAAAGAAGATCCCCTTCTCTTGAGACCAGATTACCCTTCCTTTTCTCTTCCTACTCTTATTATTATTAAGACGAATTTTCTGCTCTTTATATGACAAACCTTTAAAAATAATTTCTCCTTTTCTCAGGTTAAGGACAGACAAAAGAAGAAAAAACCACCAAAAGGAATACGGGTTGATGCTGATGGGGTTGTGTCACTGGAAGATTTTGATAATCCTGTACAACAAGATGCAGATTACGGAGAGCAACAAAATGGATCTGCTGCCAACAAGAAGGTACTCCTGAGTCCTGATTTAGTACCATTTTTAATTGACATTGTCCTTTTCCTCTCATTGGACTAATGGTGGTCCAAGAATTGTCTATCCTAGAATCAATCCAAAATAGGAGGGTTTTGGGATGCATATGCAGTGGTTGGTCTGAGGGTTCTTCTTCACTTGGAGCACCCATTATCCAGTGGAAAGGGTCCCTGGACAGTGTCCTTTCAGATAATTATGTAATTCCTTATTTAATATTTACTCTTCGTAGAGGCGGAACTTTCTTGGTGTGTGTGTGTATGTGTCAAAGTAGCGTAACATCCCAAATAAGCTAGCTTTTATGTCTCATTAGATAGCTGGTATACTACAGCTACTGACAGACTAGCTTATAAGCTTTTGCCAATATAAGCTAGGTTTGACCAGGAAAGTTATCATTCTGCCCATATAATTTTTATAAAATTTTATCATAAAAACCAAAAGCTAACATAACCTAAAAAGCTTCTAACACTGTATAAAGTTCATGCTGATGCTTTCATTCATCCTCGTATGCATATTTCTGTGCTATCTCATCGCCCACATCTTTTTAACTTCACCTTTTATCTTTCAGAGAAAATTAAGACCTGACAACCAAACTCCAAAGCCACGAAGCCATTCAAAATCCAAGAATAACAATACAGGCATGGAGATTGACGAAGTACAACCAACAGAGTATGAGAAGGATGATAACATTGAACAGAGACCAACGAGACCAAAGAGAACAAAGAAGAGTGTTAACGAGAACCTTGAACCTGCATATAATTCTGCTGCCAGCTCATCCAACCTGACGCCCGCAGAGTTTTACCCGCAATCCTCATACGATTATAACTACGACTACAATGGTGGAGTTCAATAAGTCCATAGAATCTGATGGAACAAAATAATGAACAGAAGCCAAAGCCTTACTGTTAAACATGAAGATTTGCATATGGGAATATATTGCCACTGGAGTCTGATACTAATTGTTTTCATGTACAGGGTTGAATACCGATATTCATGATTAAGATCTCCTTCGAGGGAAGCCAAGATGTAACTGTTGCTTGCAGATCAGTGACAAGTGGAGTTGAGATGTTAAGGCTAAATGTTTCGGAGTAGCTAGCTGTAACAATGTTTGGGCCCTAATGTATCTAACATTGATTGAAGATTACCCCCTTATGAGTTATGTGCAAATATTTGCTTATGTTGTGTAACATAAATTATAGTTAAGAGTTTCAGCTAATATTCTGTGTTGAGAGTTGACAATTTTCCCTAGTACTATTCTTCATACCTCATATTTTTTTGGGCTGCCTCATGTTTGGTGTACTTTGTGGATGAGCTAGTAAATTTACGAGCATTTTATCTGTATAAAAGCTTGACGAAGTCAAGCTTGCATCGACTTTAGATTTCCTTGTAGCATCATATTAACTAAGAGATGTCAGTTCCTCATTCAACCCGAGTTCAAATATTTCGGGTCAGGTTGAATTGTAGAACTTGGTTTCTGACATGATGCCAGCTGTCAGGTTGCAGATTGGGTTTCGACGTGATTCAGAGCATGTTTAACAGCATACTTATTTTCACTTATAAGTATCTTTTTAACTTATAGGACGTCAAGCATATTTGGTAAGAGTTTATTTATTATTTATTTTTAATTTTATAGTAGGAAAAAGATAAGTTGGAATTCTCCAACTTATTTTTTGGTTATTTATAAGTAGATTTACGTAATGATGCTCAAAGACTATCTCGCCTTCTAACAAAATGAGTAAAAATAGGTAATAAGTGGTAGTCAAACGTGCCTTGAGAGACAATTGAAATGTTAATAGAATTAGATATGAATAAATCATGTTTAAAATTGATTTAGTTTAAAGTTTCCTACAGATGTAATATAGACACGATATATTTTATATGCTAACCATCCGATTTGTTCACAACAACAATAAGTTAAAATGAACACTATGCGTTATGTACGTTAACGCCTTAATTCGTTTACATGATATAAATTCGAATGTTGTTTGGGATGTTTCCTTCTGCTTATATATTAATTTGTTTACACACATAAAACATGTTCATCTCTAATATTATCAAAAAGATGAAGTATCTTTTGTGTGTTTATTTTAACTATTTCTTTATGGATAAATAGCTATTTAAGAAGATCAAAAACCAAATTTAAAATCTAGTCAAAACTAAGATGATATAAATTTATCTTGAATTCCATAAAATATTTCTTACTAAAATATTGCGAGAACATCGAAAGATGCCTATAATGGGTTTCAAAAGTCTCCTGCCAAAACGACCGGTTAAATTACCCATATTTCCTTTGATGAAGTATTCCATATTGAAGCATCTAACAAGTTGCTTCGGTTCTTTTTGTATAAAAAACTATTAAACAAAAATAAAAGGGGGTGGGCGGTAGGGGGGGGGGCGATTTTTCATTATGTTATTTAGCTATGTCAAATATCAAATCTAAATTTTGATGAGTGCCATTATGAGATTTCTCAATCAATGGTGTAATCATTACCCAATTTAATCTCAAAGGAGTAACAAATCAATTAGCCAAAAAAAAAAATCCCATAATAATCACAACCATAATATTTCCTCATAATATCATTCACCTGTATTTGGAAAGCCAGGATACAAGTGATATTCTTCTATCGATGATCACAATTACCAACATCAATGCGCATGATACCATATATAGCCTACGTAATACACCAACCATTATAAACATAGCCCATTACGCATCCCAAAACTAATAATTACTCATGGCAATTTCTCTTCTCCCTCTTCTTGTTTGTGCGCTCAGCTTCCTAATTGGTTCAAGCTTTGGTTCTCTTGCAGGTTAAAAAAAAAAAAAATCGTTTTCTCACAAACAGAGCTCGATATATTTTTTTTCTCCTTAGCATATTTTTTTTTCATATATATCTTTAATTTCGTGACGTGCTTTTATCTTCATTTTTTTTTATTATTATTAGCGGGACGAGGCATCGGCGTGAACTACGGAAGACTAGGCAGCAACCTCCCCCCTCCCGACCGAGTAGTCTCCCTCCTGAAATCTCGAAACGTGACGAGAACTCGTGTTTTCAACCCCGACCAAGATGTCCTCCGAGCTTTCGAAGGCTCCGGGGTTGAAGTGACGCTCGGCACTCTCAACGGCGACCTCCCCGCCCTCGCTTCCGACAAATCTTTCGCTGCCGAGTGGGTCAACGATAACATCGTCCCGTTCGCGGACTCCGTTGCTTTTCGCTACATCACCGTCGGTAACGAAGTGATACCGAGCGAGCTTGGCCCCGCCGTTCAGAACCTCGAGGAAGCTTTACGCAGCGTGAATCTTCAAATTCCCGTTACCACGGTCGTAGCCACGAATGTGTTAGGCGTCTCGTTCCCGCCGTCGCAGGTTTGCTTGTTTATGGTCTCTCCGAATAAAATTCTATCAAGTTTACTTCTCAGCAAAATACTCCTGACTCTTAATAATAAATATTCCCGCAAAACTTAAAAGATTCACGCACGGTCATGCGACACATAATGCGCGTATAGATAGCTCTAGAATAAGGGCCCGTTTGTTTGCAAAAATTGGAGGGGGAAAGCAGGGGAAAGCCTGTAAAAGTTCTGAAAAAGTCTGAACTTTTGCAGGCTTTCCCATGTTTTCCCGGCCCCTCTAATTTTTGCGTCCAAACAGGCCCTTACTAAATTTGTTTGTTAGGCATCGATGCTATCTTTGAGACGTGTGCCTGGATACACATCACACGCTAGACAAATACGCATTTCTTGTGTGCGCGTGTTTTATTCGGAGTTTCCCAAATTCGAAATAAATCGCGCGCTAAATCATGACAACTTTTCCTCAAGGGCGCGTTCTCCGAGGCCGCAGGGCCGATCATGACCAGTTTGCTCGCATTCCTGGCGTCCAAAAACACACCGCTTCTGGTGAACGTCTACCCTTACTTCGCTTATGCGGCTGACCCCAAAAGTTTTATACTGGACTACGCGCTCCTCAACACCACCAAAGTCATTGTTCACGATGGCGCTCTTGGTTACACGAACCTGTTCGATGCAATAGTCGACGCCGTTTACTCTGCGATGGAGAAGGTCAGCGCGTCCAGTATTGACATCGCCGTGTCGGAGACTGGGTGGCCATCAGGTGGTGGACCTGTCGCAGCGACGATAGAAAATGCGAGGATATATAACAATAATGTCGCGGAGCGCGTCAAGGCTGATGTTGGAACTCCAAAGAGGCCGGGAAAGTTTATTGAGACGTACTTGTTTGCTTTGTTCAATGAGAATCGCAAGCCGGAGGGCACTGAGCAGAACTTTGGATTGTACTATCCCAATATGACCGAGGTTTATCGTGTGGATTTAAGTTAGGGAGGGCTAAATTTTGGATTTTCGGATAGTTTGAATTGAATTTTGCGAGTTGGTGTATAAGTAGGGATTTTAGGTGGGTGGGAAAATAAGTTTATGGATAAATTCCAGAATGCCATAAATTTTTTGGGGTTTTGTGAAATTTACAGTCAGTTTATGGTATTATAAGTTTGTATTGCTTTGAGAATTATTGACAATATTATGTAACCAAGCAATTTTTTGGGGTAATGGAAGGCGGCTAAGGTCTCAGTTTGAGTCCCCATCCTCAAAAAAAAAAAGGTAAATAACGTGTTGTTTGGAATTGGAGTTTATGTTTGACTGATAATTAAACAAGGAAGATATTTAATGGTCTTGATCAAACTTATTTCTTGTATATTATTATCTTTTTTTTTTGGATAGACTGTATATTAATTATTATCATATTAGAAACAATGGGTGATTTTCTTGCCAGTACATATCGCGTATACATAGCTGATTAAGTTTTTGCATATAATTACAGTTGCAAAATTTTCTGTATTAGTACTTCTTTAGTACTGTTGAAGGTCCTTTATCCAATCTCATTTGAGAAGGACCCAAGAAAGAAATACAGGAGTAAAACTTGAACTAACGATTGAAATAGAAGAGAAAAAAGCTGAATGATTGATATTTAGCTCATATCATACAAACAACATAAAAGAAATTTTGAATGCTTAATTTGTATTTTATTTTATTTCTTAAAAAATGTTCAGTCTCTCCTATCTCTTCCAACATGAAGGAGAAAATTTGTCTTAGAATGATGTACCTTACTGAGGCTCCTCAAATTTATTTTTAGTTAGTTTGTTAGAAAATCGGCAGCTAAAATGAGTTGTTTTTATCATTCATAGACTATAAGTCAATAATTTAGTTTGAATCAAGGAAACTAGCAGTGAGGCCGGAGCGCTATGTATGAAAGCAGAGAACTGAATTGCTCCAGCCATGATAGATCTGCAACCAAATTCATAATAACATAATGACGTTATGAGCATGAGTGCATGTTGGATTGTGGTTATACCAGAAAAAACTGTGAGAGGTTGATAGATGACGTGAATCAAGTCCACAAGTCATACGAGCACAAAGTGAGAAACCATTGAATAAACTGAGCATATGACACTGTTGAGTGATTCTTTGCACACATGACAAATACCGACACTTATGTATAAAAGAGCTCCATATTAGGAACGGGAGGTACTATATAAAGTGCATACTGTCAAATGATCCTTCCACAGCGTCAAAACTCCAAAGTTAACATGCCCCCAGCAGGTTGAGTGCTCAATTAATTATGGGCCCAAAACCTGAACTCAGTGAGAGTATTTTTCTTATATCCGCTTTAGGAATTCGTGAACATTAAGACTTGAACCCCGGTTGCCCTAATACAATGTCAAAGGACCCTTTTGCTACAATGGAACTCTGAAGTTATCATGCATATCATGAATGCTGATATACACATGCATGGTTCTGCATAATTGATACATCATGCACAATTAACATAACTGATAACTGATACACCGTGCACCACTTCTCCCATCTTTATATTCATGATCAAGAATGAAAATTTGGGCATGAGTATAGTCATAATCAAATAGGGCATAATAACTGGTAAATTCTTCATGATTGTTTTCATGAAGGTGTCAGTGACCAGTATTCTTCCACATAAATTCTAAAATGAGTTCAGGTTCAGGCCTATGTCCACCACAAATCAACAAAAAGTGTGTGATACAAGAAGGATCAAGGAAGAAATATTCCTGGGCAAGTGTGAGTTGTCCTCCAATCATAAATACATGTCGTTAACCACAAAGGTTTTGGTAAATGGAATATTTGTTGCTATGGCTAATAAGCTTATATGCATTGTGCAACTGGTGAGAATCATGACTTGGAGAGTGTTGACTAAACATGTATTCATGCCCATTATTTTTTAACCTTTGCACATGCTAATCAAATTCACTGACTGCCATTGTCAAACATTGATATATGCAGTGAAAAATGTTGAACAAAGTATCATGCATGCATCTCCAAACAAGATCCCAGAGAATTATGAAGCCAACCTTGCGAAACAATGTGCTTAAAAGTGTCACGCACAGACTTGTGAGCACATTGGGGATCCACCAAGTGCAACATGTTGTTGGCTCGATCCAGTGCCAAAAACAGCTAGCCAATGCTGGCGATGGATTGAGTCAAACTACATGTTGCACACAGTACGTCCCATGGCTTACATCATGACAACGGGCTCGGGGACCCGGGGAGCAACATAAAGACCAATATATTGGATGAACGAGATACCCTCATCTATGTCGATCTAAAAATCACCTTCTGAGGATGTTGACAGAGAATCAACTAGAGGCAGACCTAAGTATTTTTATAGCAACTCAAATATGTAGGTTTTGTAGGAAAAAAGCCATAAAACATTCAACCAAATTAGGAGAGCACTTTGCTTCAATTTTACAGCGTTGAGACATAGATCCTAATCATAGCTCTAATTATTTCTTCACCTATACTCTCAACAAGATCAACATCTAGCGCAGCACAATGATCCACGTTGTCCTTCAACCTTGAATGAAAATAAAAAGTTAAATCAAATTTCTCACTCAAAAAGAAAAGGGGAAAAAAACAGAAATGGCTGGTAGACAGTTCAACAGTCTAATTGCTAAGTTTGAACAAAAAGATACTTCAAAATAACAAAGATACAAGATAGTTTTCACCATGGCGACAAAGTATTTCTCACAAAAAAAAGCAGATAGTCAAACAAACAAAAACTTTGGATATTAATACATACACGGAAAAATAAAAGGCAGTTCGTTCGCCTCCAATGAGACTAAGCGGTAGTCAAATTGTTGCGAACTTAAAACCTGAAGAACATCATTCTAGTTGTGCACCCCATTTCTGTTACACCTGTTGGATATTTTGTTGGAGAAAAGGCAATTTTGCCTTAATGAATGCTAATAAATTTTGTAATTAAAATATGCTTTAATTAGAATTTAAAATGAGCATAATGGCTATACATTATGTTGTAATTAAAATATGCTTTAATTAGAATTTAAAATGAGCATAATGGCTATACATTATGACAAACGTTACAGAATTAATTACGGGTTTTGTAACAGAATTTAAAATGAGCATAATGGCTATACATTATGACAAACGTTACAGAATTAATTACGGGTTTTGTAACGTCTTTTCCAACCCTATATATCCGTATGTTGAGCTCAATAGAATAAGAAAAAAATATACAACAAGTTTTTCTTATTTTTCTTCTCCCCTACATATTATTTTTATCTACATCTTAGTTTTATTTTTGAAGGAATTTCAGCATCAGCAGCAGAATCAGGAAAAACAGGCGGCGGTCGACCGGTCCGGTCGACCGGATTCGTGCACAAGGGTTCCTGTGCGTCTGGAAGGAGGTCGGTCGACCGGCCCGGTCGACCGCAGATGTTTCGGTCGACCGGTGCGGACGACCGACGGCTCTCTGGATTTTTGGGGCTTCTGCTGGATGGTGATCGGTCGACCGGGCCGGTCGACCGGAATTGATCGCGGTCGACCGGTCCGGTCGACCGACGCTGTTTTGGGCTGGGCTTTCAGGTTTTCGACCCGATTCGTTTTGTAAGTTCTATATATACCTAAACCTGTTTGTTTAGGGTAGAGGTTGGACGAATTTGAGCAGCCAAAGAGAGAGAATCATTGCATCCAATTGTGAGAGAGCTTTGAGAGATCTAGAGCTTTGTTTTAGGGTTTGGTCTGAGAGATTTGTAACCCTATTTGTATTCTCTTGATTTCTAGTAGAAAGAACTCCCCCCTCCTTGCCCCGTGGACGTAAGCAACTTGCCGAACCACGTAAATTGTGTGTTCTTGCTGTGATTGTGGTTTGCATATTGTTTGTGGTTTAGTTCGAGTTATTGTTCGTGTTGCCCTAGAAAGCTTCCGCCGCGCACAACAATTTTATGGGCAACTTCCTTCATCTGAGCTGAAGCTCTGCACTCTCGCCCGAGTGTAGAGACCAACAATTTCCAGGGGCTTTTACCACTAGGGGGGAGAGAACCATCTGCGCCAGGGCGATATGCGGGTTCTCAATCTTCTAGGACAGTGAATACACGACTGCTCCCGTCAGGCCTGATTTTTCTTATCTCTCATTTATTTTGATTTCGGATTTATTTCATGCTATTATCTTAATTATTTGATATATTTCCAACAATCTAGAAGATTGATAAGTTTATAGATGAAGACGTATTGTGTGTGTTTTTATCAATACCTGATTCAAGGGGCCTAATTCAAGGCTTAGTCCATTATGTCCCTTAGGTGGCGATGAACTCACTAAGGAAAGGTTCAAAGCCGAAAGCTAACTCTCCCGCATTCACGATACGTAAGGTTGTCCAACCTATTTTCTTTTTGTGATTTATTGATTTATTTATTGATTTTGAGTTTTCAGTCAATATTGCCTTTTGGGGGGACTGTTGGATATTTTGTTGGAGAAAATGCAATTTTGCCTTAATGAATACTAATAAATTTTGTAATTAAAATATGCTTTAATTAGAATTTAAAACGAGCATAATGACTATACATTATGACAAACGTTACAGAATTAATTACGGGTTTTGTAACGTCTTTTCCAATCCTATATATCCGTATGTTGAGCTCAATAGAATAAGAAAAAATATACAACAAGTTTCTCTTATTTTTCTTCTCCCCTACATATTATTTTCATCTACATCTTAGTTTTATTTTATGGGCAATTTCCTTCATCTGAGCAGAAGCTCTGCACTCTCGCCCGAGTGCAGAGGCCGGTCGTTTCCGGAGGCTTTTATCGCTAGGGAGGAGGGAACCATCTACGCCAGGACGATAGGCGAGTTCTCAATCTTCTAGAACAGTGAATACACGACTGCTCCCGTCAGGCCTGATTTTTCTTATCTCTCATTTATTTTGATTTCGAATTTATTTCATGGTATAATCTTAATTATTTGGTATATTTCCAATAACACCAACCGTCAGTGCTTTAGCAAATGATTTATGATCGAGCCAGTGAGAATTTGGAACAA